TATATACGCATATTAATGCAAAAAAACTAAACAAAATTGTAGCCAATATAATCCTTGTGCTGTCATTAACATGATAAACTTAGCTGCTTAAAGATGTTCAAATTTGGCTGGGTATGGTGGCTCATGCCTGTAACCCTAGCACTTTGGGAGGTCAAGGTGGGTGGATCACCTGAGGTCAAGAGTTTGAGACCAGCCTGGCCAAAATGGTGAAACCTCGTCTCTACTAAAAATACAAAAATTAGCCATGTGTGGTAACACATACTTTTAATCCCAGCTACTCAGGAGCCTGAGGCAGGAGAATCACTTGAACCTGGAAGCAGAGGTTGCAATGAGCAGAGATCATGCCACTGCACTCCAGCCTGGGGGACAGAGTGATATTCTCTCTTAAAAAAAAAAAAAAAAAAAAAAAAAAAAAAAAAAAAAAAAAAAAAGAGAAAGAAAGAAAAAAAGATACTCAAATTTATTATCTAGCAGTTTTTGTAGGTCAGAAATCTGGTATGAGTCTGACTGGGCTTAGGTCAAGGTATCAGCTAGAACTGTAGTTCTCACCTGGGGCTCACTGTTTGTTGGTCGAATTCATGTCTTCTCACATTTTCCATGGCCCCTGTCTTTGAGCCAGCAATGCTGTGTCATGCTTAGAAATCTCTCTGTCTTCCTATTCTGCCCTCAGTCAGGAGGGAACTCTGCTTTTAAGGGTTTGTGTGATTATTTTGGGCCCACCCAGATAGTCTGGGATGACTTTTCCATTTTAAGGTCAACTGATCAGTAATCATAAGTATACCTGCAAAGTCCGTTTTGTCATGTAATATATAACATTCAGAGGCAAGATAGCAGGGGGGCAAAAGTCATAAGGGTCAAAATTCTACCTGCCACAAACAGTAGAATAATATACCAAGAAAGAATAATATACCATGACCAAATCAGTTATTACAGGACCAAAAGACTGGCTTACTATTATTAACATATTATATCAATGTGTCAAAAAGAGAAGAAACATTTTTCCTAAAAGGTGCTGAAAAGCTCTTGACACAATTCAACATTAACCAGAGATTTTAAATCATGGAGCTATACTTCTTTAACTTTATACAAATTGTATGCACTTCAAACCAAAAGCCAGTAGCGCCTTAATGGCAGCAGTTCCAGCAGCACCTTAAGGTCAGGAAAAAATCACCCTATCGATCTGACCCTGTTCCGAAAGTACCGCCCAACAAGAGTAAAATGAAAAGTATAAATACGGAAAAGGAAGAGGCAAAAGGATGGGTATTTGTAGACGACATGATCATCTACCTGAAAAGCCCAAGAGAATCAACTGAAAAACTATCCGAAACAGGAAGAGGGTTTGGGAAGGTGGCTGGAGTATAGAAGTAAGCCAAAATCACTGTCTTTTCTATACTCTTGAAAAACCCATTTAGAAAACATGGAAGGAAAAGACCTTATTATAATACCAGTAAGAAGAACAACAGATAATATACCTAGAAATAAAATAAGAAGTGTGAGCTCCAAGGAAGTGTTGATATTTTCACTGGGAAGGAAAGATGGGATATAGCCATGTCAAACTGGAAGGGATTGTATTAGTCGGTTTCACACTGCTGTGAAGAACTACTTGAGACTAGGTAATTTATAAAGGAAAGAGGTTAATTGATTCACAGTTCCTCATGGCTACGGAGGCCTCAAGAAACTTACAATCATGGCAGAAAGTAAAGGGGAAGCAAAGCACGTATTACACGACAGCGGGGGAGAGAGAGAGCGAGTGGGGTGGGGCCGCACTTTAAAACCATCAGATCTCGTGAGAACGCAGTCACTGTCATGCGAACAGCATGAGGGAAACTGCCCCCATGATCCAATCACCTCCCACCAGGTCCCTCGCTAACATGTGGGGATTACAGTTCAAGATAAGATTTGGATGGGGACACAGCCAAACCATATCACAGGCCAATTTGAAAAAATAAGGCAATTCCAGCGAAAATTTCAATGGCAGTTTCTTTTTGTACATCATAAAATTATAGGGTTCATTTGGAATAATAAATATATAAAATAGACAGTAAAAAAGAGTAATGAGAGGGCCTTGTCCTGCAGTGACTATTGAAATACAGTATATGACAAAACTGGAGTAAATAGAGCGGTACTACTGCAGAAATAGACACTCAGACAAGAGAAAGTTCAGAAACAGCCCCAGTATATTGAGAGACTAAACATGCCGTTTGATGATGGTTGGACCATATATAAAAATAGATGTGTAACCATCATTCTCAGCAAATTGACACAAGAACAGAAGGCCAAACACATGTTCTCACTCATAGGTGGGTGTTGAACAATGAGAACACGTGGACTCAGGGAGAGGAGCATCATACAGAGGTGGCAGTTGAGGGGGGTAGGGGAGAGACAGCGGGGGCTGGGGAGGGATAACATGGGGAGAAATGCCAGATATAGTATGCACCTAAAGTAATATAAATAAATTACGTGAAACCCGCAACCTGCAGCAAGCTACCCAGGGAGTCAGACCACAACATCTGCAGCAATCAGCCCCAAAAGGCCAGGACTTGATCAGGAATTGACCGCTTCCCTCATTTTTGCCAGCATTTGCAAAGTACCACCAACCAGAGAAAGCCAAACATGTTCCCTTAAGCAATCATGTAGGATGCCCTGCCTCTAGCCCACCCAGCTACCCCAAGCCAACAGCCACCAACTGGGGCACGGTAGAACTGAAGACTTTCCCACCTTCCAGGAGAACGTTTTCACCTACACTGCCTGCCTGTGAGTCTCTGCTGAAATGCCAAGCAATAGTGGCTGACCCCTTGCTGTTGCAAGCTCAGACTAAATAGCCTTTGCTTGCTTTCACTTGGGTGGGCTTCATTGCTCTCCACAATACATACAATTGTGACGAGCTCTCGAGTTCAAACTAGTAGACGAAAGACAGAACATCCAACGATACTCAACACTCGGAACAAATGGTTAACCATTTGGGGAACATAAAGGCGACTCATACTGCATACTCACATCAGAATAAATACCAGCTGCATCAAAGGTTTAAATGTAAAAATCAAACTCTAAAAAGAGCAGAAGAAAACATCTGTTGATTTGTATAACAATTCCCCCATGGAAGGCAAGACGGGTATTTATTACTGTTTTACAGATGAGGAAGTTCAGGTCCAGCACGGAGAGTGAAAGCCAGGATTTGAACCCAAGCCCAACTCCTAGTCCACTGGGCAGATGGGGTGGGTGGGAATGGGGTGAAAAGAGATGATCCACTTCAGGAACACGTGAAGGCTGGTGTAACCTGGATCCTTCAGCGGAGCCCTGGAGGGAGGGTGCCCAGGGGTTCATTTGGAATAATGGGCTGCGGACTTGGCTGGGGCAGCTCACCTGTTGGGATTGTAGCCCAGGCTATTCAGCAGGTGTGCCTGGTCCAGGTCCCTCGGGAAGCCGTGCAGCACCCAGCCTCTCTGAATGCAGTCCTGCTGGTCCAGGCGCTGGCTCAGCACCTTCACGAGGAGGCTATCAGGAACTGCAGAGAAGGGGGACAAGTGAGCACCCTGCTGGCCTGTGCCCTATGGGTCCTGGGCTTCCTAAAATTACTTGACCACAGGTTGAGCTGCTGAAGAAGTGGGTCTGAGTGGAGCCACCTGGAACCACTTGGACAAGGCTGTCAATGCCTATTTCCCAGGTCCCTCCTTGGTCCCAGCAATGGGGCTGCGTGAGATGGGAAATACACTGGCTGACCTTGACCTCAGGCTTTCCCTTACCTGGCCAAGATACCATCCCCACCTGCAACCTGGTGAGAGGGAAGCAGTTGTCCCTCACTCTTACTCCATTCGGGCTGCTACAGCAAAATCCTAGAAACTGGGTGCCCTTGAAACAACAGAAATGTATTTCTCAGTTCTGGAGGCCGACCAAGTCAGATTCAGTGCCTGGAAAGGGCCTATTTTGTGGTTCATGGATGGTGCCTTCTAGCTTCACCCTCACCAGGTGGAAGGGGTGACGAGTCACTCTGGGGTCTCCTTTAAATGGGCACTAATCCCATCCACAAGGGCCCCACCCTTGTGACCTCATTACCTCCCAAAGGTCCCACCTAATACCATTACCTTGGGGGGTTAGATTTTAACACATAAATTTTGGGGGACACATTCAGACCACAGCACACCCATGGGTCCAGTTTTTGTAGCAAACACTTTTTGCAGAAGCATACCAGCCCCAGTTGCAGTTTTAGCTTTCCTCAAATGGGATCGTGCCAGTGCCCCCAAAGCTCTCTGCTAGTCTGTGATGCATTAGCAACCCTCACTTCCCTCCTTCTCGAAATTCTCCAATTCTCCCCCACCTTGATGCATAGAATGGAGTCTCTCCCAAGAATCACAGCGCTAGTTATAACCAAAGACTGAAATGAAGTCCTATGGAGAATGAGATATTGAGAAGTCTCTTGTTTACACTGTGGCAATTGACATTTTCCTGAAATTCATACCTCTCTTCCCAGACTCATTAAATGTCCTGTGTTGCTAATGTACTGCGTTCCAGCAATTTGCACTGCGTTTCCTGCACTTTGCACTCATTTTCCAGAAATACTTGGTAAATATTAAGATTGTTTGCTATGACTGTGGCCCCGCATGGAGCTGGTTCCTAGGGGTGTGGTGGCAGTGAGTTTGGCAGTTTCTCTTGAAGCTGCCTGCTTACCCTCCTACTGACTGCCCGGGGGTCTAGCAAGTGGGCCTGAAGCACACATTTGAAACCTTCCAAAGGGCACCCCAGGCTGACAGCCAGGCAAACATGGAAGAGATGCAGAAAAATCACTAAGCCATTTCCCCGGCCGTGACTTGCTGGGTTACCGCCCCTGTCACCAAAAAACCCATAAACCTAATTCTACGCAATCTGCATTTCCCTGAATGTGTTCTCCCTCTAGTCCTTCACCCTTTCTTCCCCAGTCTCTAGGAAAGAGCAGAAACGGGCTTTGCTTTAACAAGAACATCTGGCTACCAGCATGAATGAGAAGTCGCCACAGTGAATCCCACCCCTTCTCCTGCTCCAGACCTGCAGTGGCTCCCCGGTGCTCCGAGGATAAAGAGCAGTCTCCTTTCCAGGGCCAACAGGGCCTCCCAAGGTCTGCGCCCTGCCTTCCTCCCAGGTAACCTTCCCAGCTTGCACCTCCCCACACATTGCACCTCCTCCATTCAGAACACCTTCTCCCACACCTTGCCTGGACGAGCCTTTCAGCTCAGCCTCAGGGCCACGGTGGGGTGTTCCCTCCCCAGGGAAGTCTCTGAGGACAACTCCAGCCTGCACTTCTCACCTTCCCTCACTTGCCACCCTTGTTATCACAAGGACACTTCTCTCTGGGTGATTCTTTGTTTAACGTCTGCCTCTTAGCTCACGGGTGGGTCTCATGAGAATAAAGGACCATGTCTCTCCCATTCTTCCCTACCTAGAACGATGCCTGGCACATAGTAGATGTTGAATAAATAGAAGGCTTCTCTTTTTTTTTTTTTTTTTTTTTTTTTTTCCGTGCTTTGTGAAGTCAGTCTTTTCCCCCCACTCCCAGCCAATTTTTTTTTTTTTTTGTATTTTTAGTAGCAACGGGGTTTCACCGTGTTAGCCAGAATGGTCTCGATCTCCTGACCTCGTGATCTGCCCACCTTGGCCTCCCAAAGTGCTCGGATTACAGGCATGAGCCACTGCGACCAGCCGAAGCCTACCCTTTTCCAAACACTTTACCACAGTTCATCAACTCTGTTCAAACCAACTTGACCAGACTTTGGGGAAGCCAGGTGGGAGAGGAGAACATGGGCTTGGGGCATTCACAAATCTAGGTCTCATCTCAGCTCCTCCCTTCCTTACTGGCTCCTCTGCAGGCAGTGTCTCACTCTCTGAGTGTCAGCTTCCTATTTGCTGAAAGAGGATAACGGGACACTTCGTGACCGGCTCACACCATATTTACAATTCCCGCACATAGCTGACGCTCAAAGGTGATGGCTGTTATTTTTCAATTCAGGAGATGGGTGTTAGGAAGTGATGCTTCATGAATATTTTCATGCTTGCCCGTGGTCAGGGCGTCTCAGCAAAGACTGCTGGCACCTGGGATAAACCCCATCTTTAAAAAAAGAAAAAAAAGAAAAAAAAAAAAAGAACGAGACTTGGAAGTTAAAGACAGAGACTGCCAGGGAGACTCAGGGACGTCTGCCTCGCACCCCCTGCCCCCAGGAGGGAGCTGGCATGTTATTGCCTATAAGCTCCAAGAGTCACAATGTTGGGGCTCCCCTCCTGCCACAGGCCCCCTGTACATTCGGGGTGCACTTGGCTCCTTCCATATTGCCTGTGAGGAACTGGGCCATGGGGAGCCAGCTCTCAGAGATTACTGTGTGAATAAATAATTCGTCTGTCCTCTGATCCAGAGACCTCGAATTTTCTGCCACATGAATAAATACAGATTTAAAACAACGTGGGGTAAGAATCTGCTATAGGGCCTTCCAGTCCAGGTCTACCTTTAATATTTAGATATTTTCACTGAAAGAAGAAACAAATACAGAAATAATCCTTTCCCCACGATTCGCCCAGTGAGTAGTTGCTAACCATCCTGGCTGCGCCCAGCACTGTGCCTGGCATGGGATATGGGGTACACAGCAAGCCTGACTGCCAAGGCCCCCAGGCTCCTGAAGTTCACGTTCTCTCGGGGAGACAAACGTCACCCAGATAACAAATAACCATTTCTGAGAGTCATGGGTACTGTGAACAAAATCAGCCAAATAATGGGAGGCCGCTGGTTTGACTGGGTCTAAGGAGACTGCATTTGGCTGAGATCAGAATGGCGAGTCCTGCTGAGAACGCAGGCCCACTAAGGCCTCTGTTGCTTAGGGGTGAGGATTATTTTGGACCAAATATTCTCTGATTGTTATCCTGAATAATCAGGTCTGGCTTGGAAACCCAGCTGCACCGAAGGTGATCTGACCTTTGGAGCCACAGCTTTCTGAGGGCCTGGAAGGGCATCCCATGGACCTCTCGCAGGAAACTTAGGAAACTGAGGCCCAAAGAGGTTGTGGTGTAAGTGACCCACCCAAGGTCATCTAGCCAGCTGGTGATCAGGTTGGGACAGGACCCTGATCCCTGGCCCATAATGCCCCTAACTGTCCTGCTGCCTCATTTCCCAAAGGCCTCGAGTCCCTGAGTCCCTCAGACTGACCACTTACAAACTGACATAGGCAAAGTTTCTCAACTGGGGAGAACGCTGACTCCAGGGAAAAATGGAAGGCCAGATAGAAATACAATGAGATTTTTTTTTTTTTTTGCCTGTTAGTTGACAGTTTTCTAGAGGGAATTTCCAACTTGCATCAAAACTTAGGCCGGGCGCGGTGGCTCAAGCCTGTAATCCCAGCACTTTGGGAGGCCGAGGCAGGTGGATCACGAGGTCAAGAGATCGAGACCATCCTGGTCAACACGGTGAAACCCCATCTCTACTAAAAATACAAAAAATTAGCTGGGCATGGTGGCACGTGCCTGTAATCACAGCGACTCAGGAGGCTGAGGCAGGAGAATTGCCTGAACCCAGGAGGTGGAGGTTGCGGTGAGCCGAGATCGCGCCATTGCACTCCAGCCTGGGTAACAAGAGCGAAACTCCGTCTCAAAAAAAAAAAAAAAAAAAAAACAAAAAACTTAAAATGTACATGTCTTTTGACCCAGCAATCCTATTTCTAAGAACTTATACCTAAGAGATAATAGCACAGAGGGGAAAAAATGTATATACAAAGATGTCCTTTTCAGTGTTGTTTATAATAGTGACGACTGGAAACAATCTAGAATCTCCACCAACAGAGGACAGATTAAATCAAAGAAGGTACATCTCTGCAATAGAATATTAGACAGCCTTTTAAAAAAATCTCTATATTAACTTGGAAAGAGATCTATGACAGGTCTAGGCAGAAGTCTATAACAGAATGAGAAAAAAAAGCAGGTAAATAAATGGCTTGTATATATGGTCTAATTTAAACATATACTCATATGTGAATATGTAAATATATATACATACATATATACATGCTATGTATACACACACACACAAAGGAGGGAGAAGGTGGCCACCACTTGATTCTCCATGAACTGGACCCAATCCCTCTGCTCATGGAGCCTAGGGTCTTGAAGGTGAGAGGGGACCAGGATGTAATTCCACACAGTCCTGGCAGGAAAGCAGTGGTCACAGAAGTAGGAAGTGCTGGGGACGTTGGAGGCAGGCAGGGCTGAATTTCCAAAAGATTAAGGAAGAAAGGGAACGCTCACGCTGGTTCCCACTTTGAGCCAAAACCCAAACAAGCCCCTCTCTGCAGGAATCAGGAAACACAGGCTCAGCAGTCAGCACTTCCTGGAAGGCCTCGTCACAAGTGTACGTCGGTAATTATTGATGCAGTATCTAATACTTGCATTCCCACCCACCCTCCACCCCGAGAAAGCAGGGATTCCCCCAGTAGAGTCAGGCTCATTGCTATACCCCAGCACCTGGCACAGTACTGGGCCGATGGAAGGCATCTAATA